GGACAAAATAAGTATATGGAGCACCACTTGGCAAATGGAATTTAATGTTAATAAATGTCATGTTATGGAATGTGGAATAGGAGAACATAGACCCCATACAACCTATATATTATGTGAGAAATCTTTAAAGAATTCTGATAAAGAAAGAGATCTAGGAGTGGTTCTAGATAGAAAACTATCACCTGAGGACCACATAAAGAATATTGTGCAAGGAGCCTATGCTATGCTTTCTAACTTCAGAATTGCATTTAAATACATGGATGGCGATATACTAAAGAAATTGTTCATGACTTTTGTTAGGCCAAAGCTAGAATATGCAGCTGTTGTGTGGTGCCCATATCTTAAGAAGCACATCAACAAACTGGAAAAGGTGCAAAGACATGCTACTAAGTGGCTCCCAGAACTGAAGGGCAAGAGCTACGAGGAGAGGTTAGAAGCATTAAATATGCCAAAACTAGAAGACAGAAGAAAAAGAGGTGATATGATCACTACGTACAAAATAGTAACAGGACTTGATAAAATCGACAGGGAAGACTTCCTGAGACCTGGAACTTCAAGAACAAGAGGTCATAGATTTAAACTAGCTAAACACAGATGCCGAAGAAATATAAGAAATTCACCTTCGCAAATAGAGTGGTAGACGGTTGGAACAAGTTAAGTGAGAAGGTGGTGGAGGCCAAGACCGTCAGTAGTTTCAAAGCGTTATATGACAAAGAGTGCTGGGAAGACGGGACACCACGAGCGTAGCTCTCATCCTGTAACTACACTTAGGTAATTACACTTAGGTAATTACACACACACAGCGTTATATGACAAAGAGTGTTGGGAAGACGGGACACCACGAGCGTAGCTCTCATCCTGTAACTACACTTAGGTAATTACACACACACACACACACACACACACACACACACACACACACACACACACACACACACACACACACACACACACACACACACACACACACACACACACACACACACACACACACACACACATACACACACGGAAGACCTCACATACTGAGACCTCACCGGAACTGAGGGGATTGAGCTATGATGAAAGATTGAGAGCACTGGAGCTTACCACAGTGGAGGTCAGGAGAGAAAAGGGGAGGGGGGACATGATAACAACATATTAAGATTATAAGGGAAACTGACATAGTAGCATTGTTCAAGGCTTGGAACAGCAGAACAAGGGGGTCACAGATGGAAACTAGAGACACAAGCAGGCGATGAGTCACAATAACGTGGCTGAAGTATGTTGACCAGACCACACACTAGAAGTTGAAGGGACGACGACGTTTCGGTCCGTCCTGGACCATTCTCAAGTCGAATGAGAATGGTCCAGGACGGACCGAAACGTCGTCGTCCCTTCAACTTCTAGTGTGTGGTGTGGTCAACACTAGAGACACAAGTGAGTCATAGAGCAGAACAAACTTTGTCAGTGTTAGAGCTGTTAATAAGTGTGTGTATTAGAGCTAATGCTCTATCTAACAATAAATATTAGATGGAGAAGTCGTTGAAGTTAATTCGATTCAGAATTTTAAATGTAAATATGATAAAAGCGTGAGAAATAAGTCATTGCATTAATCTATAAACATTAATAAGGCGGGGCCAGGAGCCTAGCTCGACCCTACAATCACATCTAGGTGAGTACACACACACACATTTAATAGAGCTAATTTTATAGTTAAAGCAAAAGATACCAGTTCCTTGGGTCTATATATAGGCCTATATACAGTTAGGGGGGGGGGGGAGAACCAAGCGTACTCACCAATAGTGGCATTCACTGGGCGTTCCTTATATCACAGTGGCTATATGCAGTCAAGTAACGTTGGGGTCAGGTCGTGTCTAGATCACGTTCACGTTGGGGTCAGGTCGTGTCTAGATCATGTTCACGTCGTGTTCTGGTTGTGTCTGTCATGTTCACGTTGTGGTCAGGTCGTGTCTAGATCACGTTCACGTCGTGTTCTGGTCGTGTCTAGATCATGTTCACGTCGTGTTCTGGTCGTGTTTGTCACGTTCACGTCGTGTTCTGCTCGTGTTTGTCACGATCACGTTGTGGTCAGGTCGTGTCTAGATCATGTTCACGTTGGGGTCAGGTCGTGTCTAGATCACGTTCACGTCGTGTTCTGGTCGTGTTTGTCATGTTCACGTTGTGGTCAGGTCGTGTCTAGATCACGTTCACGTTGGGGTCAGGTCGTGTCTAGATCACGTTCACGTCGTGTTCTGGTCGTGTCTGTCATGTTCACGTTGGGGTCAGGTCGTGTCTAGATCACGTTCACGTCGTGTTTGTCATGTTCACGTTGTGGTCAGGTCGTGTCTAGATCACGTTCACGTTGTGGTCAGGTCGTGTCTAGATCACGTTCACGTTGTGGTCAGGTCGTGTCTAGATCACGTTCACGTCGTGTTCTGGTCGTGTTTGTCACGTTCACGTTGGGGTCAGGTCGTGTCTAGATCATGTTCACGTTGTGGTCAGGTCGTGTTTGTCATGTTCACGTTGTGGTCAGGTCGTGTCTAGATCATGTTCACGTCGTGTTCTGGTCGTGTTTGTCACGTTCACGTTGGGGTCAGGTCGTGTCTAGATCATGTTCACGTTGTGGTCAGGTCGTGTTTGTCATGTTCACGTTGTGGTCAGGTCGTGTCTAGATCATGTTCACGTCGTGTTCTGGTCGTGTCTAGATCGCGTTCACGTTGTGGTCAGGTCGTGTCTAGATCACGTTCACGTCGTGTTCTGGTCGTGTCTAGATCACGTTCACGTCGTGTTCTGGTCGTGTCTAGATCATGTTCACGTCGTGTTCTGCTCATGTTTGTCACGTTCACGTTGGGGTCAGGTCGTGTCTAGATCATGTTCACGTCGTGTTCTGGTCGTGTTTGTCATGTTCACGTTGTGGTCAGGTCGTGTCTAGATCATGTTCACGTCGTGTTCTGGTCGTGTCTAGATCACGTTCACGTCGTGTTCTGGTCGTGTCTAGATCATGTTCACGTCGTGTTCTGCTCGTGTTTGTCACGTTCACGTTGGGGTCAGGTCGTGTCTAGATCATGTTCACGTCGTGTTCTGGTCGTGTTTGTCATGTTCACGTTGTAGTCAGGTCGTGTCTAGATCATGTTCACGTCGTGTTCTGGTCGTGTTTGTCATGTTCACGTTGTGGTCAGGTCGTGTCTAGATCATGTTCACGTCGTGTTCTGGTCGTGTCTAGATCATGTTCACGTCGTGTTCTGGTCGTGTCTGTCATGTTCACGTTGGGGTCAGGTCGTGTCTAGATCACGTTCACGTCGTGTTTGTCATGTTCACGTTGTGGTCAGGTCGTGTCTAGATCACGTTCACGTTGTGGTCAGGTCGTGTCTAGATCACGTTCACGTCGTGTTCTGGTCGTGTTTGTCACGTTCACGTTGGGGTCAGGTCGTGTCTAGATCATGTTCACGTTGTGGTCAGGTCGTGTTTGTCATGTTCACGTTGTGGTCAGGTCGTGTCTAGATCATGTTCACGTCGTGTTCTGGTCGTGTTTGTCACGTTCACGTTGGGGTCAGGTCGTGTCTAGATCATGTTCACGTTGTGGTCAGGTCGTGTTTGTCATGTTCACGTTGTGGTCAGGTCGTGTCTAGATCATGTTCACGTCGTGTTCTGGTCGTGTCTAGATCGCGTTCACGTTGTGGTCAGGTCGTGTCTAGATCACGTTCACGTCGTGTTCTGGTCGTGTCTAGATCACGTTCACGTCGTGTTCTGGTCGTGTCTAGATCATGTTCACGTCGTGTTCTGCTCATGTTTGTCACGTTCACGTTGGGGTCAGGTCGTGTCTAGATCATGTTCACGTCGTGTTCTGGTCGTGTTTGTCATGTTCACGTTGTGGTCAGGTCGTGTCTAGATCATGTTCACGTCGTGTTCTGGTCGTGTCTAGATCACGTTCACGTCGTGTTCTGGTCGTGTCTAGATCATGTTCACGTCGTGTTCTGCTCGTGTTTGTCACGTTCACGTTGGGGTCAGGTCGTGTCTAGATCATGTTCACGTCGTGTTCTGGTCGTGTTTGTCATGTTCACGTTGTAGTCAGGTCGTGTCTAGATCATGTTCACGTCGTGTTCTGGTCGTGTTTGTCATGTTCACGTTGTGGTCAGGTCGTGTCTAGATCATGTTCACGTCGTGTTCTGGTCGTGTCTAGATCATGTTCACGTCGTGTTCTGGTTGTGTTTGTCATGTTCTATCGTGCTCAGGCCATGTTCTGGCCGTGTTTAGATCATGTTCAGGTCATGTTTATGTCGCGTTCAGGTCATGTTTATGTCGTGTTCAGGTCATGTTTATGTCGTGTTCAGGTCATGTTTATGTCGTGTTCAGGTCATGTTTATGTCGTGTTCAGGTCATGTTTATGTCGTGTTCAGGTCATGTTTATGTCGTGTTCAGGTCATGTTTATGTCGTGTTCAGGTCATGTTTACGTCGTGTTCAGGTCATGTTTATGTCGTGTTCAGGTCATGTTTGTCGTGTTCAGGTCATGTTTATGTCGCGTTCAGGTCATGTTTATGTCGCGTTCAGGTCATGTTTATGTCTTGTTCAGGTCATGTTTATGTCGTGTTCAGGTCATGTTTATGTCGTGTTCAGGTCATGTTTATGTCGTGTTCAGGTCATGTTTATGTCGTGTTCAGGTCATGTTTATGTCGTGTTCAGATCATGTTTATGTCGTGTTCAGGTCATGTTTATGTCGTGTTCAGGTCATGTTTATGTCGTGTTCAGGTCATGTTTATGTCGTGTTCAGGTCATGTTTATGTCGTGTTCAGGTCATGTTTATGTCGTGTTCAGGTCATGTTTATGTCGTGTTCAGGTCATGTTTATGTCGTGTTCAGGTCATGTTTATGTCGTGTTCAGGTCATGTTTATGTCGTGTTCAGGTCATGTTTATGTCGTGTTCAGATCATGTTTATGTCGTGTTCAGGTCATGTTTATGTCGTGTTCAGGTCATGTTTATGTCGTGTTCAGGTCATGTTTATGTCGTGTTCAGGTCATGTTTATGTCGTGTTCAGGTCATGTTTATGTCGTGTTCAGGTCATGTTTATGTCGTGTTCAGATCATGTTTATGTCGTGTTCAGGTCATGTTTATGTCGTGTTCAGGTCATGTTTATGTCGTGTTCAGGTCATGTTTATGTCGTGTTCAGGTCATGTTTATGTCGTGTTCAGGTCATGTTTATGTCGTGTTCAGATCATGTTTATGTCGTGTTCAGGTCATGTTTATGTCGTGTTCAGGTCATGTTTATGTCGTGTTCAGGTCATGTTTATGTCGTGTTCAGGTCATGTTTATGTCGTGTTCAGGTCATGTTTATGTCGTGTTCAGGTCATGTTTATGTCGTGTTCAGGCCTGCAGAACACCAAGTAATGCTTGATAACACTTGCCCATCTAGAAAGAAAGTCTAGAAAGTAACTTCACCACAGTAAACGACGTGCCAGGAGTCCTTGCCTAGCCACCAGGCCTTCACAACCTCACACCAAACTCTACACAAGAGGGCATAATCTCCAACTTAAAAGCAGAGTCAACGTTGATTCGGGAATTGATGACGTTGCTTGAACGTCACACCAACGCCACTTTTGGATATTGTGCCCACTGGGTATAACTGGTTAATAATATATCACCCATATTATAGGACTTCAGTCACCACCTACAATGCTATAAGAAGCTTATCTGTTAAAAAAAGCATACTAAAACTCCCCCTTTTTTTAGTATCTGGATATACTCATCCCTATAGATGTTAACATACACCTTCATACATGCTTTTAAATACATAGTCAAAGACGACTGCGGCTACAACCAATTACAGTAACTCTAATTATAAAATGGCCAATTATATAAGAGTTACAAGACTATGCCATTGGGAATAATGTCTAAGTTCAAGTTCAAGAATGTTTATTGAGACAAGAAAGAAATACATCTCAAAGGAATAGAGTAGCTTAGGCTATTTGTACTTCCCTAATGTGTAAGAGCGACGCCATTTCAACGGCCGACGTTGAGCCAACGTCGAACTGACGTTCTTCTTGCCCCATTATGTCCACTGTGGTGTTATTTCATCAATAATATCATTCCAACATTTGTTATTAATCACATTAAAGGTATTATCATTCGGCCAATATATTTAATTATCTTCACGTGTGTGGTGTCCTTCGTGACCCTTCTGACAAGGGTGTCTGCTGACAAGGGTGGCTCATCTGACAAGAGTGTCTGCTGACAAGGGTGGCCCTTCAGACAAGGGTGTCTGCTGACAAGGGTGGCCCTTCAGACAAGGGTGGCTCATCTGACAAGGGTGACCCTTCTGACAAGGGTGGCTCATCTGACAAGGGTGACTCTTCTGACAAGGGTGGCTCATCTGACAAGGGTGACCCTTCTGACAAGGGTGGCTCATCTGACAAGGGTGACTCTTCTGACAAGGGTGGCTCATCTGACAAGGGTGACCCTTCTGACAAGGGTGGCTCATCTGACAAGGGTGGCTCATCTGACAAGGGTGGCCCTTCAGACAATTGTGGCTCATCTGACAAGGGTGACCCTTCTGACAAGGGTGGCCCTTCAGACAATTGTGGCTCATCTGACAAGGGTGACCCTTCTGACAAGGGTGACCCTTCTGACAAGGGTGTCTGCTGACAAGGGTGTCTGCTGACAAGGGTGTCTGCTGACAAGGGTGGCTCATCTGACAAGGGTGTCTGCTGACAAGGGTGTCTGCTGACAAGGGTGGCTCATCTGAGAAGGGTGTCTGCTGACAAGGGTGTCTGCTGACAAGGGTGGCTCATCTGACAAGGGTGGCCAGGAAGCAGAGGGCAGCCAGCAGACAGATGTTGGAAGAGATCCCTGCTGGAGAACCGCTCCCTTCCTCTCTCTGCAGCGTTATCTGGCAATATATATATTATCTTAGAGACGATGATTTACATTCCCCTGAAAGACGAAGAGTCACAGTATTTAGAGAGGCGAAGAGGAGAGGGTAGAATGAATAAAGAACACGTGTGTGTATAAAAGGGTATAAGGAGGTGGGGTATAAGTAAGGTATAAGGAGGTGGGGTATAAGTAAGGTATAAGGAGGTGGGGTATAAGTAAGGTATAAGGAGGTGGGGTATAAGTAAGGTATAAGGAGGTGGGGTATAAGTAAGGTATAAGGAGGTGGGGTATAAGTAAGGTATAAGGAGGTGGGGTATAAGTAAGGTATAAGGAGGTGGGGTATAAGTAAGGTATAAGGAGGTGGGGTATAAGTAAGGTATAAGGAGGTGGGGTATAAGTAAGGTATAAGGAGGTGGGGTATAAGTAAGGTATAAGGAGGTGGGGTATAAGTAAGGTATAAGGAGGTGGGGTATAAGTAAGGTATAAGGAGGTGGGGTATAAGTAAGGTATAAGAAGGTGGGGTATAAGTAAGGTATAAGGAGGTGGGGTATAAGTAAGGTATAAGGAGGTGGGGTATAAGTAAGGTATAAGGAGGTGGGGTGTAAGTAAGGTATAAGGAGGTGGGGTATAAGTAAGGTATAAGAAGGTGGGGTATAAGTAAGGTATAAGGAGGTGGGGTATAAGTAAGGTATAAGGAGGTGGGGTATAAGTAAGGTATAAGGAGGTGGGTATAAGTAAGGTATAAGGAGGTGGGGTATAAGTAAGGTATAAGAAGGTGGGGTATAAGTAAGGTATAAGGAGGTGGGGTATAAGTAAGGTATAAGGAGGTGGGGTATAAGTAAGGTATAAGGAGGTGGGGTATAAGTAAGGTATTAAATATATCAACACAAAATAAAATTCAAAACAATGATTATAAATAACAAATGATTCAGGAAAGACCTGGGGTAAATACTGGTTTAGAAGCAGGGTTGTTGATGAACAAATCCACAAGGGCCGTGAAAAGGATTCGAACCTGCGTCCGAGAGTATCCCAGACGCAGGTTCGAATCCTCGTCACGGCCTTTGTGGGTTTCTTCATTTGATGCATCACGCAATTGTGAATTCTGTGTGTAAGGGTTGTTGATTTCTGAAACATATTACCTGGGTAACATAATACACGTGGGATCTCTCTAGTGTTTCAAGCGTAGGTGAGACATGTATATGAATGAGTCTGGGTGGATACAAATAGGAACTGTCACGTAAGGACGCTCCTTTTGCAGTTTCATTTATTCTGATGCTCTTTATTGTGATTTATTTTCAGGTAAGGTAGGAGAGAGAGAGAGAGGTGTTGACACTAGAGGTCAGCTCTCCTCGTCCCCCAGGAGTGCCACCTGCCGACACAGACAGGTAAGGTGGGTGTAGCTGGAGAAATACAGAGATATACGAGAAGAATAGTGAAGATCAGGACAATGTAAAAGTATTTTAACTTCAAATAAGCTTTCAGGCACTTTGGCGTTAATTGCCGGAGCTTAGACGAGAGAAACTATGTAATATACAGATAATTAACCACAATATCGTGACTGACGAGCAAACAAGCCGACCAATACATATAATACTAAATGAAAGTAGCCACGTTTCGGTCCGTTCTGGACCCTTTTTAAATTATCACTTGGTAATGGTCCAGGATGGACCGAAACGTAGTCACTCACATTAATTCACATGTGTGGGATGGGTTATTTATTTAAGATGTAATTTACATGTTGTAAACGCTATAGAAGGCCGCATTTACGCAAGCACTTACGAAATTGAAATTGAAATAAGTTTATTGAGGTAAAATACACACAAAGGGATGAGGTAGCTCAAGCTATTCTCACCCGTTCAGTACATCGTGTTAATACATACATATACACACATCACAAGCAATAAACATATTACCAAACATTCTGAGAGATAAACATATACATTTCCTCCTTTACACAAGTAAGCACTTACGAACTTGTACATCTTTTCTCAATCTATGGCGGCTTAGTTTACAATTATTCAACAGTTAATGAGCTCCGAAGCACCAGGAGGCTGTTTATAACAATAACAACAGTTGATTGAGAAGTTTTCATGCTTGTAAACTGTTTAATAAATGTAAACAAAGCCGTCAAAGATTGAGGAAAGATGTACACGTTCGTAAGTGCTTGCGTAACTGCTTCGTGAATCCGGGTCCATATGGAGGACGTGCATGAAAGGTTTAATTATAATTATATTTTTACTAGATAATTATATTTTCACTATATGTCGTCAATTGTTTAGTAGTATTAGATAAAATACAAAACAGCATCACTGAACAAATATCAAGATTTGCAAGACGTGAAATGGAACATAAAAAGACAAAAAATGTGGTTGCTTGTATTTGGAAAGCAGTAACAGCCTAGTTCATCAGGTCATTATTGGATAACACGGTCTAAGGCTGTCCTCGTCCTCGTCTGAGTCTTACAGACTAAAGCCATCTAAGATATAGCAGACAATTCTTGGAGTCATATTTTGCCTTACATTTCTTTATGTAAAATTAACGCACATGTAGGGTTAGGAAGGGTCTCTCAGAGAACCGGGAAGACATCGCCCACGACTCTTTTTTGTTTTGTTTTAAATCTAGTGCCAACATATATATAGGAAATATTGCTGGAACGACGTTAGCTTTCGGGAAAATGTTAACAAGTTTCTGCTCAAGTTACTGGCTCAGCCTGGCTGTGATATCGGTATGCTCTTCCTAGTGAGAAGACAGATGACGGGTGGCAGGTTGGGCAGGGATCCTAACCTAACCTAACCCAATCTAACGTAACCTAACCTAACCTAACGTAACCTAACATAACGTAACCCAACCTAACCTAACGCAACGTAACCCAACCCAACCTAACCTAACCCAACCTAATGTAACCTAACCTAATGTAACCCAATCTAACCTAACGTGATTTAAACTAACGTAACGTAACCCACCCTAACCTAACCAAACGTAATCTAACTAACGTAACCTAACCCAATCGAACAACCTAATCCACCCTAACATAACGTAACCTAACCAAATGTAACCTAACCTAACAACCTAACCCAACCTAACGTAACTTATCCTAACCTACATTAATCTATATAGCATTTTATCTCCTGAGTCTCTTTTCTATCTTTGGGTTTGGTTAGGCTTCTTTAATTATCACAGTCTTCACAGGCAGCATAATATCTCACAGCATCCCAGCTTCTCTTGCCAGCCTTTACCTGGAACACGAACTATCAGTCGCTTTACAACCATGCCCACAACAGTCAACTCTCAAAACATTAACCAAATGCTTGTTAATTAATCCAAACATCTGCCTAACTGTCTATGAATGAAACAACCTGCCCTCATGCCAGTAATACTCCTCTGAACGGCTGGAGTAACTAGCACTTAGCCTTTGTTGATGAGGACGGGCTGTTACACGCGACGGATGAAGTTCCAACATTTCTCGAACAGTGTTTTGCTGACGACTTCTGTTCAAACCACAACCTTGTAAATGCTTCACCCACTTACTACAAATTATCGCCAACAGAATCTAAGCACCTAACTTAATCTATGCCTAACCTAACCTAACCTAACCTAACCTAACCTATGCCTAACCTAACCTAACCTAACCTAACCTATGCCTAACCTAACCTAACCTATGCCTAACCTAACCTAACCTAACCAATGCCTAACCTAACCTAACCTAACCTAACCTAACCTAACCTAACCTAACCTATGCCTAACCTAACCTAACCTATGCCTAACCTAACCTAACCTAACCTAAACCTAACCTAACCTATGCCTAACCTAACCTATGCCTAACCTAACCTAGCCTATGCCTAACCTAACCTATGCTTAACCTAACCTAACCTATGCCTAACCTAACTTAACCTATGCCTAACCTAACTTAACCTAACCTAACCTAACCTAACCTAACCTAACCTAACCTATGCCTAACCTAACCTAACCTAACCTAACCTAACCTAACCTATGCCTAACCTAACCTAACCTAACCTAAACCTAACCTAACCTATGCCTAACCTAACCTATGCCTAACCTAACCTAACCTATGCCTAACCTAACCTATGCTTAACCTAACCTAACCTATGCCTAACCTAACTTAACCTATGCCTAACCTAACTTAACCTAACCTAACCTATGCCTAACCTAACCTAACCTATGCCTAACCTAACCTATGCTTAACCTAACCTAACCTATGCCTAACCTAACTTAACCTATGCCTAACCTAACTTAACCTAACCTAACCTATGCCTAACTATCCATAGAACTTTAATATATAATAATATAATTTATATATGAGAACAAACCTATTTTTAATAGATAATCCGTTACAATTTATTGATGTGTCTTGGGGGGGGGGGGGTACGGCGGCCGCTTTAACGAGCCTGAGAACAGATTGAAATAATCGCCAACCCCTAAACATCTGACCTAACAACACATTTAAGCATGCACAATATGCTAACATATTATAATGTATATTGGAGAACAATCCTATTTCGAGGGAACAGTATGTTACAATTGGTGAACGCGTGTCTTGGGGTCGGCCGCCGGATGGAATGAAGATAACCTGAGGATGATGAGTTCAGTTCTCAGTAGTATTCCTTTCACAACAAAATATTTTTCTCCGCCTCATATACATAATTTAGTCATTATGTTATCAGTTAGCAACATTATGGATTTATTCCTTGTGTTGTCAACTGCCAACAGTTAGGATTTAATCCTTGTGTTGCCAACTGACAACAGTTAGGATT